TCCTATACACCTTCCTAACTTGCTATAGGCAGTGATATTGCTGATCATAGCGTTACATGACACTTTTCATGAAGTCCTGGATAAACACATTTTAAAAATGTTTATTCGAGCATACAACAGCAGGAGCTACATAAAACATAAACAAATAACACCTGAAAATAATTATCTGACGTGTAATTAAACATGTGTAAGTGGGACTAACCTGTATAAATAAACGTTGAATAAATAACGTTGAATAAATAATTTCAAACGTAGTGTATTTTTATTATTTTCTCTTTAGTGGTAATGTATTGACGTAATCAATGTGCGACCTCGTGGCGCAACGGTAGCGCGTCTGACTCCAGATCAGAAGGTTGCGTGTTCAAATCACGTCGGGGTCAAACCTTTTCTTTACAGTTTAAGATGTCCTGAAATTAACAGTATTATTTTAACCAATGAGGAAAAAATGAAATAAACATTAAACCAGACATAATTGCTGAACCTGACATATTTTAGTTATCTTCTATCACATAAATCATTTCTTGATATACTATAGGCGTCTGCAGGTTAAATAACTTCTCGTATTAGAAACCTTTCTTTCGGAAATGTATATTTACTTTATCCACCGGCTACATTTTACTCGTTCCGAATGTAAGTTTCCCCCTAAAGTCGTTTCTCTCGTGTGTACGTTGCTATGGAGACGCGTCAATATAGGTTTGTGATTGTGAATATGTTTGTTCCGGAAAAACTAGCATGTAGCGGTGTCTCTCTCTTCTTATTATATTTTATTTTTGTAAAATCTAGAGTAGTTTTCATTCCGGACCGAGTTATTTTTAGAAAGCAGAGCTGCCGACACTCGAAGATTTCTACGTCTTTTTTCATGCCGGATGGTCGCACGCGTGATAATCTGTAATTAAACCTCCTCCGTTTTCGACCTAATTTTATAGCACGGCCGTACAGTTGATACTTTTTCTATCATGCCAGAAGACAAAAACTTGCTCCATCCAACCAGGAGTTCTCATCACAAAAAGAAGAAAAAGAAAGGCACTACACCTACTGCTCCAGAAAACAAAGGTAAACATTCTGACATTTTGGAGGATGAATGCTCAGATTTATGTTTCACTATCAACTTCCATATGTTTTATATACACAGAAGCAGTAGTCAAACCTAATAAAATAAATAAATATAAAATAGTAAAATAAAGCTAATTTTGAACAATTATGTGTTCTGAGTTTAATTCAAATGTGCCACTCGGACAGTTTAAAGAGCAGCATCACCTTTCTGAGATTTTAATGTGTACTATAATACTAGTATTCTAGTATCACTGAGTATACAATGTACATAGCACATGTATCCTTACTGATTGGTGGCTTTTTAATATATGATGTTATACAGCATTCATTCAACCTTTATTTATACAGGTTAGTCTCATTGAGCCTCGAGGACTCATTTACAAGGGAGACCTGTTTTTAATGATGACAACAGACAATCATAAAAGAAAGCATATAAATTGGGAAAAATAAATGAAAGAAAATTATGTAAAAAAACGAAACAAAAACAGCTACAATTTAAAGCGATGTGGAATACAGTAGAAAGAAGCCTACAACTAAAAACCTAAAGTATTTCTAACTACTTTAATCCCTTAAAAATGACTCAGATTATGGCTTCTGAATTACATTTTCTATAAGTAAAAATCCTGTTGTCTTGGATTGCTAGCAAATTAAATAATTATTAGAAATGATTGATGTATGCTCACATACCATATGCTACAGCATTTGGTGTGACTTGATATATCTCCTGGAATTTCAAGATTTGCTCAGAAGAAAATCAGGGAACTTTGTTTTCATGAAATGCTGGGAACCCTGTACACATTGTTAACATGCAAAGAGCACGTGTACTGCAATCCAGAAAAGATTGTTAGACGATTGACTCCCTGTTATTTCACCCACTTGTAAAGTATTTATGATCTGTGGGAGTTATTGCAAATGAACCAGAACGTGTTTATGCTATCACCCTGCAGAGAAACATCTGGCTCTGTCCTTGGCTCCTGACACTTTGCCTGTTTCCATGCTCTCCCATCCAAGTGAAGAGCACCTTCCTAAGCTCAGCGCATTCAGTAAAAAGGACAGAAAACTGTGCGCTGGTAGTGGTCAGAAGACCAAAAGGTGCCACAAGGATTCTCAGTCCCTCCCTACAGTGACTCATAAAACTGGCAAAAACGGATCTCCAGCTCAGATGACTGAGCTCAGCTTCCAGACCAGGGAGAGTTTGAGGTGGGAAGGAGTGCTGCAGGACCCCCAGGAGGAGGCAAAGAGGCTGGAGCTGTACAGGATTAACAGACGACAGCGTTACATCGCACAAAAGAAACCCAGCACGCCTTGAGACAAACTTTTCTTAAAGAGAGTTGAGAGAACAAGACTTCATCTGTCAGAGACGGTGTCATTAATGATCTGAGCACAGGCTGAAATAAAGAAACTAAGATTTATGTTGTTTTTTTTTGTCACCTTAAAAGTTATTTGTTCACAATTTAAACCAGATCCATGGTTAAATAGAAGGGAACTGGACTTCTCCACTAGTTTGAACTAGTTTTAGTCACTGATAGCTGCTGCATCACTGGCTGCAAGTTGTTGTAAGTACGCCTGAAATAAATGGTCAATGATATATATACTAAATAAATACCAATAAAGCAAAATGTATATTCACAGAGCTGTTGCAAGAACAAGAACTCCACAATTTGATAAGCATGTTAAAGGCAGAATAGGAGTAAATCCTTATTGAGTGAAACCTGAGCCTGACGTTCCCATGGCCTCCGGCATAATTCTTGTCCAGAAAAAATTAATTATTCTCAGTGGCTTGTGTTTAAAGGTTTACTTAAATATGAAACATGCACAGCAAAAAGTAAGCAAAAACAATTTATCCACGAGTTGGTAATTAAACAGAACTAGAGCTAAGGAGGTCAAAAAACTTTTTGGCTTCTCTCCCCATCTAGTCTGTCTGGACTTTCTCTCCTGCCATGCCCCACCCACATCACATGACTTAAACATGTTACCAACCTCAAACTAGCAAAGATCTACACATAAAACAAATAGCTTCAGTTATACAAAATTTAGTTTAGGCTCCCACAAGGAGGATTATCTTCTAAATTGTTAAACATGTAGAGAAAATACCCAAAGTAGGTCTTTTAGGCCTGAAACCTGATCAGGAAATGATGAAACCATTGAGCTTTGTCACGTCTGATCGAGAATAGAGAAGGATTAAATAACAGAAATATAGATTAGCATTTTCTCAAAGTATTGTTTGTGTAAAAGCTTAACTACTTATTTAGACACATGACCAACGTGTGGTTGAGGGCTGTTGACCCTAAAGGCACGTATAAAGAAATGATAATCCACATTTTCACAACATATTATAATCTTAATTATGTGGCCAGCTCTGCTTTTTTTTTGTGTAAAATAATAATAATTTAAGTGGTCAAACCACATAAGTAATTGGACCATGGTACAAGACTTGTATGAGCATTAATGTTACTTAAATTCAACAGATTTCATGATTCTTTAAGTATTAACAGAACTGAGATACTGATGCCTTTCAAGTTGCTGAATCCACCTTATGCTCAGGTGGATTATAGAAACAGTACCAGTGGTGGGCAGCAGGTGGCAGCATGACCACGTGAGTGAATCAGATGATTTCACTCTGATGACTCAGTAAACAGCAGGACACTGATGTGCCCAACAGTTTTTAATTTGTTCCAGTGAAACACCAAGACAAAAAGTTAAATACTTTACGGTGTCAGGAATCACTTAGAAATTATAATTAATGTGTTTTTTAAGCTTCTTAAGGTGGAATTTAGATCAAATCTTTCTCATAAAATTTAAGTGTATTTTAGTTCATCCTGAAATGGAAAAAATTTATATATTTTTGGGCCATTCTTTTTGTCACTTAGCATGTGATGCAATTCAGATTTATTAAATAGACACTTTGACGCCTGAATACCAGAACAATCAGAGCTGCCTGCTAGTAAGATTAGCCAGAACTAAAAAATAAAAATAAAATAAAAAACAGTACAGAATGATAATTCATGAAAAGTGCCCTTAAACAGTTTTGTTTTAACCTGTTCAACCTTTGTTGTCTGCTCTACTGGCCGTTATGTAACACTGCTTAACTTTTTTCACACTATTATAAAAAATAAAAAAAAAGATCTATACAGACCAAGTTTTTGAAGTAAAGTTTATGCACTGTCAATGTTCAGAAACAATAGCAGACAGAAAAACACCACATATTTTGTGAAGGTTTTGTCACAACGCCTCTGTTTGCTGTGTTTTGTTCCAGTTGTCTGATTCATCGTCTGTAACACAAAACCCCCCTCGTATTCTCTTAATCCCCCCCCCAACTCTGACTCGCTGAACCACGAACACATCGACAGCGAATCCAACTTGTGTTCTGCCGTGAATTATAGTTTTCAACCTGCAAAATATTTTTTTTATTTTTTACCATCTCTTTTCATTTCATTCGTCCTAAGAGATCAGATCTGTGAGGACATTTAAACCACAACGGCACAAAATGTAAATTATTTGACTAAATAAAAACAATCAAATATTTTTGTAAAATTTAAAACATGATGAACACCAATAGTTTGACTTTATTTCTACAAATCAAGTAAGATGTAGCCTAAACACTAAAGACGGTGTGTCCCAGTGTCGAAACTTTAATCTGTTTTACAATGTTCAGTCAGGTCACCTGGACGGTTTCTTTTTTTGCTGAGACGTTTCATCCATCATCCACAGGACTTCTTCAATTTGAGGAGCACCCAAACAAACTGATTTCTACAAAAAGCATACTCCATCCTCAGAATGAAGAAGTCCTTTGGATGAAGGACGAAACATCTCAGCAACAAAAGAAACCGTCCAAATGACATGACTGAGCTTTGTTGGATTTTTACCTGGATTATTGAGCATAAACTTTGGTGTTTAATCTGTCATTTATCTAAAATAAATGAAAGACTTGTCTGCCACCAGTTCTCCTACATCATGATCCTCCTCTTCTGCTGGAACATATCGACCAGTGTGGGGCCTTTGCAGCTCCTGTTTGTCTTGACGTCTTCTCGGACGCGCAGCAGGCGAATCCTCTCCGTCTTGTTGTCCTTCTCGTTGTAGGGACACACCTTTAGATGCTCCGAGATGGACGGAGCGTCTCTGAAGCGCCAGGAGTCCACAGGAGAGAACAGAGTGCTAAACTGCCAGACCTGAAGGGACAGGAGGAGACGGGCAGCAGAGAAAGGGAAGATTCCAGTTCAGAGGATTTTATTTTTACTTATTTAAATTTATTTTTGTGTTGGTTTCAGCTTCCTAAAAATCCATTTGACCACTGGTGTGTTACTTAATTTCTCAAATATTTTGGATTTTTTTTTGTCACTTAGCCTACCTTCTGTGTCACCGTCCACTTGGCTCCCCCCTGAGAGAAGGCCTTCTTCTCCCAGCGGAGGGTGACCATCCCTCTGTCCTGCAGCAGAGAGGAGCACACCTGCCTCATGAGCCGGGACACCAGGGACAGCTGGGACAGGGACAGACTGTCCAGGAAGCTGGCCACGTGGACCAGCACCTCATAGGGCAGCGAGCTGAGAGAGTCCCCCCC